AAGCCATTTGGTGTGTGGAAGATAAAATACATAATTAAAAATGTGCAGTGATACAAAAAATTTTAATTAAAGTCCTTAATGAAAATCCACGATCAAACTTTTTGAATTGCCCTTTCAAATTAAAAACATTATTTGTGCATCAATTTTTGTTAAAAAAAACCTTCATTTTACCACTGAACAATATATATTTCAGTTCGCTTTTTCTACACAAACTATTTTCAAATAACGCTGTAAAAGGAGTATTGAACGAAATAAAATTTTATATCTTTGTATGTCCACGATTGTTATTTGGTTTCTGCTATTACCTTCTTTGGGCTTTGTCTTCAGATTTTTTTGTGGAATTTAATTAAATAAAATATTTAAACTATACCTTTATTAGAAATAATAAAAAGTGCGTCTTTATCCAAATACATAATATTATATGAAAATTTCACAATTACTTGCAAAAATGGCGAATGCGCCGGGATGAAAATTAATTCAACTAATTTTAATTTTGATACGTATATGAAGCTGAAAACACTCTTAATTAAAAGAAAATTCTAATTATAAGTATTTTATACAGGGTGCTACAAGTATCTTGTTTTGTGTATACTTCTCTGTATATTTTTTTATTTTAAGAGTTACCATTTCGATTAAAATAAAAGTTGCCTATTAAAATAAAATTTATGAATTGGAAAAAAGCCAGCGGTTGTAAAAAAAGTTGAAAAAACCTAAAATCCTTTTAAAACCAAAACTTTGTTATTCCTGGGAATTTAGAAAAAAGTGGTATTTAAATGCAAACTTACACATTTATCTGCATTTTCATCTAATTTCTTTGCTATATTTTGAGTTTATAATGACCGCCATTACTTATGTAGTTTGATAAATCGTTGAATTCCTTAATTTTTTCTGATATAATTATACGAAAAACAAAATATGGTGGTGGTAAGTCAAAATTTAGTAGGCGAAAAAAATCACAAATTGAATGAAAATGTAGATAAATTTGTTTTCCTAAAAATAACGAATAACGAATATATAACTGGATAAACAACAAACACTGTTTTTGAGTTTCACGAATTTATTTAAATTTTAATTGACAATTGTTTCGCTAACACTGTAGCTTCTTCTGAGAACAAGGAAAAAATCCGTAATCCTTCTTAAATAATTGTATATTGTGCGACTAGTGGGAGAAAAAGGAGATTTCTCGAGCGTAGAGGAAACAAGGGAGTGAATTTTCCTTTTTAACCAATAGTCGCACACAATATTTTATTCAACTACCACACCTTTATTTAATATTTTATTGACATCCGACAGCCGACAAGCAGTTTTAACCTCACTTTTTTACCATTTTAAGCTAAAGCCAACTTCAGGCCGTGGAAAAAATGCCAATTCGCCCACTAGTGGGAGAAGTAAAATTTCTCCTACCGGTTAAAGTTAAGAAATGAAATGATTGTTAAATCAGAATTTTTATTGCTTCGAAAGCCAAAATTTTTTGTTGGGTTTTGTGTTTTTGAATTAGGGAAATCTGTCGATGTTGAGTTTTGTTTTTTAACACATTCTAAAAAATTAATCCCGGCGAATCCGCCATTTTTGAAAGTTATATTTTAATTGTAAACCTAGACGGTTAAGAGAAATTTTTTAAGGCTGGAAGAAAAACACGGTATTTTTTCTTCCTACACAACAAAAATTTTGACATTTAAAATTTGTTGCATATGGCGCGTTATTAACGATAGCGACGCAAGTTCGTTGCTATGGATGTAATAGTATATTTTCCTGCCCAGCCATTTGTGGGTGTTTTGCAGGGCTAGCCGTGGAAACACCTATTTTTCGTAAGGTAGAATTGAACTTTAAGGAATGTTATTAAAAAACCCACTCTATACTCGATCAATTTTATAAATAGGCACTAAAATATCCGATAAAACAGAGAGATATATGAGAAGGGTATTGAGTTACGATTAATATAATGGCATTTGAGATCGTAAATATATATAAGATGTCGCATGTCAGCACGAGCAACTGACGTCTTAAATCTCGTCGATAAACTTGTTAAACTTAATTATGCCACATAATGTTTTAAAACTCACTTTAATCGAATCACTGTTCAGCTAAAGTTAGGTTAATGAAATATAACCGTTACCACCAAGTGGTGTAGTTAAAGTTTTATCGAAGTTGTAAAATCATATTTTATATTTTAATAAATCTCGAAGTAAATAAAATAAATTTCCGCAATATTTTTATATAAAAATATGTAGGTATTTTTAAATCCGATATAAAATATTATTGCGAACGAAGTTCCACTAAACCTTGAAGAATAAAAATGAAATAAAACTTAAATTAGTTTTTGGGGTATACTGCATTCCTATTTAAACCGGGAAGCCTCTATCAATTGTTGAGTGTATTTATAGTCCAGGAAACAAAGATTGTAGAAGGAAAACTCGATGCACAGTAAAAAAAATCAACTCTAATCCACACTAATTAGAGTTCACTCAGGTCCACACTAAATAGTGTTGTTTTATAACACTACAATTAGAGTTAATTTGTAGTGTAATTTTTCCCAAGTAAGCAAGTATGATTTAATACTATAGCACTGAGGATAAAGTAATTTTACACTGTATTAAAAAGTGTTAATTTACCTAAAATCGTGTACTTCTACACTTTCTGTGTAAAATACCACTTTTGTTCAGTGTAAATTAACACTACTTTGGAAAAGTTCTAATTTTAGAAAGGTACTTTTACTCTTTTAGTGCAAACTTATATTGTAAATTAACACCATTATTTGAGTAAATCCTATTGGTGATAGTGAATAAAACGAAAAGGTAAATAAAGAGAAACATTTATTTGGAACAAAAATCTATGACAATTATCAAAATCGGTGCAAATATAATTTTATATTTGAGTCGTATGGCTGGCTTAAGCAAAATGGTTCCTTAAAACGTAAAAGTTTTAGATCACTGCAATGTTTTACTGGCTGTCAACTTGTAAGCAATAAATTATCTATTATTATTATTTATAAAAAATGGTTGATCCCATTGGTAGAGTGGCGTCAGGCGGCTGTATGTCGGGGATTTACCACACGTGTACAAATTTTCCATAATATTAATAAAAATGTAGGTATAGGTTAATATAACAACCATTACGCTTGAAAATAAAAAGTAAATCAAGTGTGTATGTATTTATATTATCAATTACTGCCGTAAATTATTGATATATAATATAGGTCGGGTATGGTAGATAGGTACCAACCAAACATTTTAAAACGCATTTTTCAGTGTATTGGTGTAATTTAACTTCAATTGTGATACAATGTGCACTAGTAGTGTAAAGAAAAAAGAGCTCTTCATCAAAACAGACAAAGAAATTGGCATGCACTGTAGTGTACATTTTGTCACTATTTAATACAGGGGTAATAAACACTCGCATTAAGTTTTTCTACCCTTTTGATTTATTTTAATAATAAATAGTGTGAATGTACCAATGAATAATGTTCATATTCTTTAAATGTGTTTAATAAAGTTAATAAGCACTAAATGCTACCTAGTGTATTTTGTAGTGTAACTTTTACAATTACAAATCAACTCTAATATTTTTACCCCTACACTAAAAAATTTACACGGGCAAAATTTTTTACTGTGTGGTAGTCGGGTTTTATTTTTTTATGTAGAGTCAGGGGTGCTGATAATAAATCAAGAATATTTCCCCAAACCGTACGGTAAAAAGAACCCCCTATACATTGAAAAGCAGTAACTTTTGTCTAGTACCTCAAAAAATCGTCCATTCGGTTATGTTTGATTACCGTAAGGTTTGGGATCGATTACTTTTAAAATTGGGCTATAATAAAAAAAACAAAATGTGATTTTGAAAGCAACGCTCAACTTTGCACACTGCGCATAGCAAAAGGGCACATCATATAGGTGCGCAATGGGGTTTAACGTGTGCCTTATTTAGTACATAATCAAAATTATTAGAGGTCCAATTCTGAAAACATGCACGGTTAGCGAGTTATGAGCCAAAAAGCAAAAAAACTCACCTTTCGGGGGATGAAATTAGGGGACGCGGAAAGAAATTTTTGGGGAATATTCTTGATTCATTATCAGCACCCCTGACTCTAAATAAAAAAAATAAAACCCGACTACCATCGAGTTCTCCTTCTACAATCTTTGTTTCCTGGACTATTCATTTGTGAGTAAAATATTTTTAAATATAAGTCTTAAATAGGCTACATTAACTACAGATGTAACTTTCTTTTTATTAATTCATTCAAGTACAGTTTTATCCTTTTGGCTCCTTCTACGCAAAGAAAACAAATTTAATTTAGCAGTAAATTATAATTTAAATTTTAGCAAAAAATGTGTAAACGGGTGACTTTAGAAAAAAAAGTAAATACATTTTTGTAGGAAATTGAGTTTTCCACAAAAAAGGTAAAGTAATTAAATTTTAAAATTAAAGATTATTGGTTTTATAATTGAACAATATTTATATGAATATTGTTTTTTCCACTCATATTATTTGGTAGGTATCAAAAGCAAAAAAAGCAATAATAATGTGGGGTTCTTTAATCAAATAAAAAAAACAATATTTACCTTTTTCAATAAAAAAACGACGTTTTTTCACTTTTTAAAATTATTGTTAAGAGCTTAAAATTGGACTGAATTATTATTTACATACGCCTAGGACAGTATTTTGGATATTAATGCGGTCCAAAAAACACTTTTACTTTATGTATTTTTACCAAAAAAAAAAAAACGTTTTTCAGACATCTAACATAAAAAACGAAATTTTATTCTAAGGCAAAACTAAATCTAATACAAAATTTAATGAAAGTCTGATCTACATTACAAATTAATTCTAAACCTAATTTTAAAACTCATCTTCTAAATTGCATATTTAAAAACCAATTTTACAATTAAGGAATTTTTCACATTGTTCAAGTTTCAACTATACTTTAATAGAGATTTTGCATTAAATGTCTGATTCTGTCCAAACAAACAATAAATATTTTTATAAAATTTAGCAGTACTTACTTTGAGATCGCAGGTGGTATTCAGAAGTAGATTGCTAGGTTTGAGATCCCTGTGCAGTACATTTGCCGAATGAATGTATTTTAAACCTCGCAAAATTTGATACAAGAAGTAACATATGTGGTCGTTACTCAGTCTCTGGAAAAAAAAGGAGAAAGAAAATACAGTAAAATCGATTTTGTAAGTAATTGTGTTTGTTGTCACCTACTGTCAGTGTTGATGGAAGGAGAATGTTTAATAAAAAGTTAAAATAAAAAAATATTAAAAAAAGAAATTTTTTTTATAAAATCTTATTTAGTGATTATTTATGTTATTATTTACCACCTACAATTTGGCAAAAAGTCAACCAATATCCTTGTGGATTAAATTAGATACTTTAATTTCACCAAGAGGACAAGACTTTGTCAGTGAGCTACAATTAAGCTAATCAACAAGTTTGCTTCGTTTATAGAATAGACCTTAAATATTTTTTTTAGAAAACGTCGAAATTTTAATTTTCTTAGTGATCTTTTTGATATTTTTATCATGCTAGATTTTACCACACTTCACTTGTACAAGTGAAATCAATAAGATTATAACATACTGTGGATCATAAAGTTATGTTCACCAAGGAGAGCGCCGACCCTTTCCCCCTCTTTTTAAGGGAAATAACAAAAATTTTGTTACCATTGCAAAAAATAGTATATATTAAAAGAGTCTTTTTCTAAGTGAAATAAAATTAATTTGAATTAGAACGATAGTAATTTAAAAAAGACAAATATGCCATAGTAAAATGAACAAATTTTACTATAACAACTGCGCATTACTTTATGTAAGCGCAATTCACACACAACTATAGATTTAACAAAAACATTTTAAGTTCGACAAAAATTTAATATAAACATAAAGTATTTCTTATTGCCATGGCAATATGATAACAACTATTACTTTGTTGGATGAACATTTTTTTTATAAAGGCTCAACATTGTTGCTTCATTATAGTAAATGAGAATTTTATTAACAGTAAAAAAGTTGATTCTGTAAATAAAAATAATCTCATTACTTTGACAAATCGTAGGTTTTTATCCCAAAAAGACAATGAAAATTTAATAAAAAAGGTACCTTAGGTGGTACATTTTTTTATATCCATTACAATTTTGTTTTGTGGGCATAAAACTCAAGATGCGTTTTTTAATCTGTAAAGGCCAGTAAAGGGGGAATTTTTGCCATTTCCCTAACATTTTATTAAAATGGATATAGCCTGTTTTGCACAGATGCTCCTCAATTGTTATCCAATTCTTAAAAAACGTAAACTACTTATTTAAAATATAAAGGTAAATTAAAAACAATTTTATATTTCATGTATGCTGGTCCAGCTTGTTAAAAAAACAAATAAGAATTAAAAGAGCATGTAACTGTACTACATAATATGGAATAACGTATTTATAAATTTTAATGAAGCAAAAACGTCGTTCACAATGTAATGTTTTATTTACATGGTAGAAGTTCTTTTATACGAAACCTTTTTAGATGTTAAAACGTACGTATAGAAGAGTTAAAAATTCATTAACATGAGTCTTTTGTAAGAAATTAATCTATTTTTAATTAAAACTTTAGTATAAAGGACTAAAACACGTTATAATGTATTAAATTAAACTACTAATTAAATTTTATTACATTTTCTTTGTTAAAAATTATTTAATAATGTCATGTTTTAATAAAATTAATTGTGCTTGACATATTTTTGCAGAATCAATCTTAAAAATATGAATATTGTATTTTTCTTTTCCTAGAATCTAAATTATCTTTTTCTACTCCCACCTTTAAAACGCCCTTTATCGTACATGACACTAAGTGACCTTTTAAATACACATTGACAAGTTGTGGCTTTAAGTCGCTTTAGTCACGGGCTGAAGTTAGCAACAGGTTTTTAGTCACGGGCTGAAGTTAGTTTTAAGTTAGTTGACAGTTGTCAAATGTCATACAATCGTTAAAATAAATTGCCTTTCTTGTAAAATAATACAAAATGTGAAAATTATTTTATTATCTCAAAACCAAAAATATTAAATAGTTTCTCAACGCCAAAATTTGAAAAGTTTATATGAACATTGACCTTTTAATTTCGCCGGCAGTAAACTATAACTTAAAATCGGGCACGGACTCCACTGTAAAGTGCTCATAAAACATTTTATTTACTTTCACTGTGAAAAACTGTCAATTTTCAAGAAATACCTTTCGATTTATAAACTTTATAATTGTGTTTATAAATTGTAAAAATTTGACATTTGACGGTGACACAGCTTCCCCTATTGTTTCATAGATGGCGCTCTATACAAATTTTTGATTTAAATCATTTTAAGATAATAATAAGTATTTGTCGTAGAAAAAGTATAGTATGCAAATCGTTTATAAACTTGATACATAATATACTATTATCTACTATTACATTGACGAACTGTGACTTTATGGCATTTTAGACACGGGCTGAAGTTAGCTTTATTATAAATTGGGACAAAGTAAGGTTAAATCTGTTGACATTTGACAGATGTCAAATGTTTTACAAATAAAATTTGCTTTAAATTTTTCTTTGTGTTCGTCGTAGATAAAGTATAGTATGCAACTTGTTTCATAAACTTCTCTAGACATTCGCTTTTATTAAACACTCGCTTGCAAACTTCGCTCGTGCCTAATAAAACTTTAACAAAAATGGCATTTATTAAACTTGATACATAATACACTATTAAGGCCCAGTCGTATATTATTCTGTTTAACAACAGATTAATAAATCACGTATTAATCACTAATAGCTGGTTAAAGAAAATTGTATTGTGCAATACAAGGTTATGTTTTAATTGGTTAATTTTAAATTTAGGGGAATTTACTAAAAAAATCTCCAGGTTGTAAAAGTACCTATATTGGTATTAATTTATTTGTTTGTTTTTTTGGTTAATGTTTTTAATATTTTGTATAAATTATACAAAAAATGGCTTTAGCAATAACTTGAGGGTCAAAAATTAAAGATTGTGGTAAAAGGGTCGCTAACTTTAGTAAAAAGAATCTTGCCTTTGTATACTTGAAAAATATATAAACATTGTAGAATTCAAAATGAACCAGTTGCCAAAAATCGTAAAGTTAATTCAATCATTTGCCTGAAAGAAAGCGTTTATTTTGTATTAGTTCTTAAAAAAATTATGGCTAATATTTCTTTATTTCAAAAATCTGTTTCTGTATTCTTCATTTAAATTTGTAAAATACTCAGGTCTAACACGAAATTTTCTGTTGTCTACTAATTCTAAAAAAATTTCATCATCCGTTAAATGTTCTACCATTTTAATGCTAACCACACATAACCAATAACAAAAAAATAATAAAATTTTTTAAACTTAATAATTACTATTTAGAGTTAACCAGCTGTTTTCCACCTGTTATAAAACTGGGCCTAATAGTATATTATATATCAAGTTTAATAAACGGCATTTTCAGACAAGAAATTTAATTAGGCACGAGCGAGTGAGGCAACAGGAAAAACTACCTTTTTTTCGCAAACTTTAATTTAAATTATGTTTGCGCCGAACTTGTCTATTTAATGTCATTATAAACTATTATAAATTTGGTGTGGGTCCCATGTCTAATAACTGAAATATTGGTATACCCAAAATCCACCAGCCGCCACTGCTAGGTATAAAAAACAATGTATTACTAATTATTTATACAGTGTGTCCTCGGATGGACTTAACTATTTAAATATTTATTTTCAATTTTCCGAAGAAAAGTCACTCCTCATAATTTCTTCTGCTTATTATATAAATACCATTCACGAAGAGAAACTTATATTTTGTTATACAGGGTGCGCAAAAAAAATAAAATTGTTGATTTTGCAAAATTAAAAATTTTTCAATATTTTTTGTTATGGTCTAATATGAAGAGCTTGTAAGAAGAAACCAAACCCTAAATAAGATTTATTCATGTGAGTTGTTGTTACTAAGATATTTGTTATTAAAAATAAAATCAATTCAGGTCCTAACTTTAGTGGTCCTATTATTTTGTAAAAATTGACTGCTATCTCATTTTAAAATTATGAAACAAGGTTGTAGCTTTCAATGTCTACAATTATTTGTTAAAATTTGAAAACTAATATCTTAAATTTTAAATATCAAAAACTCATATGAAAACACTTCATTTGGCTTTTTGATTTCTTCTTACCAGTTTTTTATAAAAAAAATACTTTAAAAATTTTAATTTTGTAAATCAGTATTTTTGCTCACCCTGTACAACAAAATGGATGTTTCTCAACGCGAATCGAATTTAAATAACAAGCAGAAGAAATTATGAAGAGCGACTTTTTTCGAAAAATTGAAAATAAATATTTTTACAAGTATAGTTGAGTCCATCCGTGGACGCACTGTATATTTGTATAAAGCGACATCTTACAAAAATAGAGTAACCTGTGAATCTGTTTTACTGGCTTTTAAAATGGCAGTTAGTTGTCAAATTTTCCTAAAAGATCAAAATTTATCTCTTGAAATGGACTAACAACTGTTAAAATCCGATATAGAAGCAGTTTTTACAGTGAAAGTGAAGAAGATGTGCCGGGTGGTGCCTTAACTGCTCTTTATTTAAATTTTGACATGTATTTTTTTGTATTAATTTAATTGTCTTTGTAGGTTAGTCAAAGCTAAATTAAATCGTTTTTCTACTCCCACCGATAAAACGCTCATTATAGTACATGTTTCCATGACACTAAGAAATCTTTTACCTTAACCTTAAGTATGATAGAGACGCTTTAAAACTATAATTTAATTCTCGCTTACTTCGACCCTTAGCCGTTTCGGAACCCCAGAAAAATTAATTAAATGTCGCGCAGAGGCGGGTAACACAAACTTCAGCTACTTAATAAAATCAACACATGTGTCGCGGGTAAATCTAATCCGTTTAAAACAAGTTGTTTGAACAGTGATTGTCTCAGATGAAAACGGATTAAAGCAGCCTAAACAGAGTTAGCGTTTAACCCGCTAATAATTTGCTTCAGGTGTGTTGAATTTTTATTTTTTGAAAATGTGATTATTTAGCAAAAGTACAAAAGATTGTTGCAGTTTAGTGCCGATTTTATGCCAACATCACATTTTAGTTTTTCTATTAAAATTATTAATGCCGTTTATGCTAAAAATTAGCAAACATAAAATGTTAAAAATTGACGGAAAGAAGAGCATAATAAATGTTTGAATAGGAACAGTATCAACTGCACTTTATGTGGTTTCAAAAATAAATAAATATGTTACTTTGATAATTAAGTATCAAAATAATGTTTGGATTAACTATCAATAACATACACTGTGAACAGGGTAAACCATTAATAAAATGGATCATGTAAATTTAATGGATGTTTGCACATATAAATTTGCTTTTATCTGCACCCAAGCAACAAAGTTTGTTTTATAGATAAACTCTTATTCAAAATCTATGTACACAAACAGTAATATGAAAACAGCAACAAAAAATAATTAAAAACACATCCATGGGTACCATAATATTGCATTGTCATCGGATTTATACAGGGTGTCCCAGAAGTCATGTACACTTATCTATGCCCCAAGTTTATTTGAAGCGACTGATAGTAGGAGAAGTATATAATATTTACTGCAAACTTTTATAGCCGCCAACAAGAGAGAAAATAGAGAGAATGTATAGTAAATTTAAAAGGACACGACGTACACATCATCAATCAGCTGATCGGGCAAGGTTGTCAATGTGATGCTAAAATCATTGCATCAAGTGAAAGTGGTAGTGCAACTACAGGGCGATAGATGGCGTTTACATGAATAATACCATAGGGTCCCTGGATTTGGGACCTTAGAATACCAAAATGTCAAAAGTCGGAGTTTCATAACCTATATGATGCACCGCCAAAAGTATAATTTAACCATTTTTAGACATTTTTAGCTACAAAACCCAGAAATTTTCTTATATTATGTATCCAACATATATTTTGTTAAATATTATAATATATAATTAATATTATAATATATAATTAATAATAATCCTATAAACGATATAAAAAGAACAAACAAAATAAACGAAATTATACACGAATTATTCAAAAACACAACTGACAGCTTCGAAATTCTAAAACGTCAATTTCTTTTTCTATACGTCATTTTATTAAGCAAAATTTTAATCTAAACATGACAACATTGCAATTGCTGCCAACTAAAGTTGTTTAAAATGCATTAAAATATTCAATTACAGACTTTGTTTTATACATTTAGTATTGGTCCGCAAAATTATGACGTCATCGTGTACGTGTACGTCGTTTCCTTTTAAATTTACTATAGGTAGTATAATACTGCGCTCTCATTGGCAGCTAAAAATTAAAGAACTACTGAAATTTTCCGAATTCGAATAAATTCGTCTTGGAGTTTTGGAACACCCTGTATATTTTCAGTAAATAAAATACATACATTTTAGAGTTAAACAACTGTAGAAGCAGCAGATCTGAGTTGTTTTAAAGTAAATATATATATGTATAAATTTACAATAAAAATAGAAAGTTTAAGCCTAATTAGTGTAAAGTAGACAGTTATCGGACACTTTATAGTTATTGGACAATTAACATTAATACTGTAAAAGCAAGAGTTCTATAAATAGTTACCTTAAAGTCAAATCATTAGATGACGCTGTATACAATTATAACTATCTCAGTCGGTAATAATATAGAATAACTTTATTTTGGGTCCAATAAAGTTTGCACGTTACTTTGGTGGTAAGATTTTTATTTTTTTGTTAAGAGCAGGGCTGTGTTTAAATTACAATAAAAAATATTTTTAAAACGTGTACAGATCAGTGTTTGGTATAAATGTGTTCCTCATGGTTTAAACATTGTCACTTTAAAGCGTTTTAATTTTAATTCTGAAAACAAACAGTAAAATGGCCAGTGTCCAATTATTTGTTGGTAAAAAATGCAAATTTCTATTATTGGACATATTATGTCGACGGTGGTCTAGTGGTCTAGTGCATGCTGACTACAAGCCGGAGGTCGTGGGTTCGAATCCCACCAGGGGTATGGCTGTTTATTTGTGTTTGTCCTATTGTGTATTAGTCCTTCGGACCCGTGGTCCGTTCCTACCCCTAACCTGCACAAGCCATTCAGTTGGCTTATGGGACTTCTTAAGAAGTAAGGGTGGAACTAAAAGAGCACTTTTTTTTTGTATGTCCAATATCATACTCTATTTGTATGCCGGACATTTACCAGCCAATTCTTATGTAAAATTGTCCCCTGAATCCGAAAAGACCGTCAAAAACTATAAAAGTTAAACAGTTTTTGAGATAAAAAATTTATTATATTTCAAAAACTGTTGTACTTTTATAACTTTTGACAACATTTCCGGATTCAGCGAATAATATTTCATAGGAATTGACTGCTAAATGTCCTGGATACAAATTGCTGTTGACGATAATTATTAGTGGCCGCTTTTTCGCTACGACATTTTTGACTAATTCATTTTTAAATAGGAAGTAATATATTGATTTCTTCGTCACAGGACATCTTGCAGAATAACAGTGATTTAAATACAGTGCATTATAGAAAACATAAAAAAACTAATGGAAACAAAATTAATAAATTCGAAAAATACTTTTAAAATACCACCCGAAAAAATATTAGATAAATATATTTATAAATAATCCTGTTCCGACCTAAACCTTATAAATGCTTCACAAACTGGAGATACCTCATTTAATGATCTTGTTGATTAACAATTAACAACAAAAATTCTAAGAATACAATTACATTACATACATATTTAGTATAGTAGTTGTCATTCTCGATTCTAATATTTGTAATTTTACTAAACTTTTCAATAGTAAACATTTAGTAAATTTGCCATTATTTTTAACAGTGTACTGTAGCATTCACATTTATTCGAATATCTTTTAAAGTTTAATCCAGGAATTTCAAGTATGTAAGCTTTTAACTGACAACACATCAGGGACGACAAAATTCCTTTTTACTGTCTACAACTTTGTACTTTTATTGAAAAAAGACAAACAAGTTTCTTTTGAAGGTATTGATTAAAAATATTTCGAATTATCAACATGTCGGGTTATTTCGTCAATTTTGCATATTGTTAAAAATATATGCGGTAGTTTAAAAGCTAAAAATGGTTTTATATTGCAAAGAATAATTAATTTTGCATAATATGTTATTTTCATTTTGTCACAAAGTAGGAATTTTTTAATTCATACAATATTACATAATATGTATATAAATTAACAGAATAGCAAAGAAATTGATTTTTTTTAAGTATACAAAATTTGTTTTAATATTTTTTTAAACTTTTTTTTGTAATAAAATTGTTTAGGATAAGGTACTTTTTTTAATTAAAATACGTAGTTACTGGGTGATTCCATATAAGATTGGTTGTGTGTTTACTATAGGTGTTTTATTTTGAAACGCATTTGCAAAATTTAATTAACAGTAACTTTTTGTATACTTTGTCCGCGCCTATGGGCGTTAATTATTTCGTTAATTAACGTTGAAAAGAGTGATTTATTTTAACGACCAAAGTTTGTTTTCCCCATAAACCCAACAAATTATTCAATTAAACACACAAACGACGAAAGTGATTTAACAGTAACATTCTACAACCATGTTGTTAAATATATCCCACTTTCGTTATTTCAGTAGCAAGGGTTGATAAAGTAAAAATTAATAGGAATAATAAAAAAATACAATAAATGTTATCGTATTAATTTCAGAGTTCAAAAACAAATTAAAAACATATTCCAATAAACTAATTTCATAAAATGTTTCCTGCATAGGTTGTTAAAAGAGATTTTAATGACTATCGGAATATTGCAATTAAAAAATAAAATCGGAGTACCCAGATAAAGAGTAAAAAAGTTTTATGTATATTCGATTGCTTTATAAAACATTATATTTTAAAATTTAATAAATATAGATATTTACCATTGAATTTGGTATGTAAATATACATATTATAATACCTACATATTCATAAACATATCCCAGTCCAAAAACATGATATGAGAAGGATATTGTTGTTTAAAGCTCGATGTCTTTGAAATGCAAATAATATTATGTGGGTTTAATAGAAATCGAGCTTTAAACAATGCAGAACAATGCACAAAAAATTAGCTTAAAGTATTGTAATGGTTCAGTACTTAAATCCGTTTTAAAAATTTATTTTGAAAGCAAAATCTTGTATTTTCGAAATTGTGGTGTTAAAGGCAACCCGAGAAAGGAAAGAGAAAAATCACGATTAGGTAAAAAAGTTTGCCTAAATGTCCAGAGTTTTAAAAAGTGGTAGTGAACGCATCGCTTCCTGTAAAATTTATAAGTTATTTACCTACTCATTAGTTGTTTTCACTACGTAGTACTACATTTAGCTAATTTGACTCGATGTTTTTTAAGCTATTTTTAAAAAAATTACTCAATTTAGTTGCGCAATAAAATGTTTATACCTCTCTTAAAACGATTAGGAATTTTTTGTGGTCATTTTAAAACAAATATCGTGTGATACGGGGTGAATCGTTGTTTAAAAGGAAATATTGACCGTTTATTTCATCTTATAGGCTAACTTTCAACAAAAAGCAACAACAAACTTTTGTGAAAAACATTAAATAAAAAATATTCTTTTAAAACATACCTGTGTTTTAAGAAGTTTGTAAAGGTCTGTTTCCATAAGACATTGCACAATATAAACATCTTTCATTTGGTCTATCGTTACTGCTCTAAGAATGTCCCTTATATCGATAATCTGAAAAAAAAATATATTTTGTTAATTTGTTAAGTCAAGGTTTGTAGCCAAATGGCTACAATGCAAGCGCACACAATTTATGAACCAAAATATATATTTAAACTTTTATTCTAAAGTATGCATCCTTTTTTCGGTTTTTACACATTGAATAAGCATTTAAATAATTTAGAGAAATTTTCGAATGCACAGAAAAAATTAACGGGGCTCCCACAAATTTTATTTAGGAATTTATGAGGTTTTTTGGAGAATTTTAGGAGAAATAAAGTACGCAAATGAATGTATGTAATTAAATAAAAACAACTCTACACTGTACTTAAAAAATAAGAACAAAATAAATAGGGTACATAGGTACATAAAATTACTCGTTTTTTATATAATATATATTATATAGATATATCTGAGGTATATTCATAAGTAGAAATTTCACCACACTTTTAATTTTATTAAAAAAAAAACGCGTCGATAGATATGCCTAAAAAACTAGACCAAAGTCAAATGATGTTATATTTATATTTTGAGAAAAAAAATGATAACCGTTAACCGTAACAATTGTAATGTGGATCTTGTTACTCAAAAATCTCATAATAGGAAAAATATAAAGTTTGCATAATACAGCAAAACATTCTTTAGATTGTTTACTATTTTAGCTATCATTTAAAAGAAAATGAAAAATCCTTGTTTGATATTAGTATATTATGTATCAAGTTTGATAAAGGCCATTTTAGCTACGAGTTTAATTAAGCACGAGCGAAGCTTGCGAGCGAGTGTTTAATAAAAACGAGTGCCTAGAGAAGTTTATAAACGAGTTGCATACTATACTTTATCTACGACGAACACAAAACAGAATTTAAAGCCAATTTTATTTGTTAAAATTTTGACATCTGTCAACTGTCACCCGAATTTAACCTCACTTTTTCCCAATTTATAACTTCAGCCCGTGGCGTAAAATGTCGAAAAGTCACAGTTCTTAACTTCAGTCCCTGACTAAAACGCCATAAAGTCACAGCTCGTCAATGTAGGAGTAGATAAAATATATTATATATCTTAAAAAACAACAAAATATAATATAACCTAAAAACAAAATCCATCTAGAAGCTACTACATGGATTTTGTTTTTTAGGTATATTTTGTTGTTTTTTAAAAAAAATGTAGGCTGTGATATATCATTTTTTAAAAAAATTAATAAACTAGAACTTAAAAATATATATTTTTAAATAACTTTTTAAAAACTAAGTTTTAGGAGATTGAAGACAATTTTAGGAGAATTTTAGAAGTTTTCAAGATTTAAGCCAAATTTTAGAAATTTTTTTAGTTTTAAGAGGTGTGGGAGCCCTGCATTAAAATTATATCACTAAAAAGGAATAATGATAATAGCCCTAATATATCTTATTTTATGTTTTTTATATCGATTCCTTTAATGAAGCACTGGCCAAATATAAACATAAAACCAAACGGTTTTTTTTTCCTTTTTCTTAACGATTATACGTTTTTCATTACTGTGTAGTCTGTTGCTTTATTTTTTTGGTAAAGTTTTTCTTATTTTGTTTATTAAGCATAATCAACATAAAATTAGGCCTTGTATTCTATAACGTTTATTATGTTTATGCAAAATAAATATTTTTTAATAATTAATAATAATAATCTTTGTTCTAAAATTAATAAGCTAGAAAGTTACAGCTTCACAATACTAAAACAAATTTGGTTTATTTAGTAGAACTATTATATTTTTTTACTAAAGTGCAAATGATATATTAATATCAAAGTAATAAATTCTATTTAGGGCAGGTAAAAAAACAATATATTTAAAGATATTTCATGTAGGTAATACTGAAGCTGACTTAAAATGATAAACAAGCTGTAGGTGTACCTTCATGTAATAAAACGAATAATAAATCATTTCTTAGATAAAATAAAAATAATCTTTTTTCTTGTAGCTAGGCAAGAATGCGCCAAATAAGCATCGGGTTTTTGCAACGCGCGCGCCATCTGGTGGCGCCCGATAGTATTATTGGACTACAAGGTTTCCCAACAATACAGTTAAAGCATACAAACTGCACATCATTTTTAAAAATAAGTAGTTTTTTCAAATTTATTTTTTAAGTTTAGACATTTTTAAGAAATCCAACACAAAATAATAGTTATACAAACATAACCTTAAAATCAAACAATTTTATCAGATTTTAAGTTTTCTAAAAAAACCTCGACAACTGAATATTGAAATGGTAAAAGACAAAATATATCTACGAATTGATGGCAATATAAGATTATATATTAGGTCATCTATGTATTAGGGTGTGTCATTTGTAAGCAACTTTTTTTTCAACTAAAAAACAGGCTAAAAACTTTCAGGAAGGTGAAAAAAGAAACCTCTAAAAATTTTAGCTCTTAATATTAACATTAAGTGGTGCCTGTTCCTAACTTTCCATTTAAATAACATGGAATTTTTTTTTCTTTTTTTCTATTTTTGTAGCTTGACATTGGAGCATTGTAAAAACGAACTGAAAAATTATTTTGGTAGGAAATTGAACGCTCTACAAAAAAGTTTCAATATATTTTTTCATAGAGTGAGTCGTTCTGAAGGTATTCAAACTTAAAGTTGCCTTTAACATTTCGAATCGCGGCACGTTAGCGTGCCTAGTCACTGTGTAATCCGAACGGTAATATACCGACTGAGCCGATATAATCTTTTATCAGAGTTATCGACTTTAAAATTATAAAAAAAAGAAAGATTAAAAATTCAATACAATAAAAAATTCATTGTTTTATTTAATCTATTATAATTATTGAACAAATTTTTGAACACAAATAACTTTTTTAGTTAGTTAGTAAATAAAATAAAATGGAAAATAAAATTGAGATGTAAGTGTTATTTTCGTTCTATACGAAAATAATTATTTTTTCTTAAAATAATTTTTAAGACATAAAAAAGTATAAAAGTCATAATTTCATACATTTGCAAGTTTGAATACCTTCAGAACGGCTTACTCTATGAAAAAATAAATTAGTACTTTTTTGTAGAGCGTTCAATTTCCTATCAAAATAATTTTTCAGTTCGTTTTTACAATGCTTAAATGTCAAGATACAAAAATAAGAAACAAGAAACAATTTTTTTTTCCATGTTGGATTTAAATGGAAAATGGAAAGTTAGGAACAGGCACCACTTAATGTTAATATTAAGAGCTCAAATTTTTAGAAGCTTCTTTTTTCACCTTCCTGAAAGTTTTTAGCCTGTTTTTTAGTTGAAAAAAAGAAGTTGCTCAAAAATGACACACCCTATTATATATAATATAAAATACCCATTTTTGTTTTTTTACCGTTGAGTGAAGAGTTTCTCAATTAACACTTTTAAGTTAAGAAATTAACAATAAGGGAATTCATTATTTCGACCACCCTCTGTAGGACCACAAAGTTATGTAAGTAAGTAAAAAATAGGGACATTTAACTCGGTAATAGAAAATAGTTTGAATACTTACATTTTCATGTTTAAACCTTGTAAGGATTTTGATTTCCCTCAGCGTCCTTTGACAGTAAGTTTGATGTTCAAAGGGAGATATTTTCTTTATGGCCACTTTGGTCTTTGTTACGGTGTCCAGTGCGGATCTGTAATAAAAAAAATCGAATGAAATTTCTCTATTTGCATGTTTTACTGCAATAAAAGCTGGTATAAGAAAGAATGGTGTTTATTTTAAAATTTGTTTTTGCGATATTATCTTTAAATATTTGTTCAGCAGGAACTTCCAACTGATAAAATTTTATTTACCAAAACATTTCTGAAAATAAACAAAGATTTTTTGTCGAACCATTTCTAAATATTTTCCCCAAATACCTAAGGAAATTAAATTAAAGTTCATTCGAATATCAACTGTGAAGTTTTCCAATAATAAAGTTTGGACACAGTCAAATTAAACCCTTTTACAAAGTGCTTTTATTGATCACGTATTATTTATACTTCGAAAACAATGATTACAAGAGCACTTACATTGTCATAAAGATGACATTCTTGACGCAATAATATAAATGTTAATCTTGGCCTTAACCAAAACTAATTTTCCACAAGACATATGTCATTTCTCGACTTAACTGGCTTGGAAATGTCCAAGCGCCTAATACCGTAATATTTCTCCTGCTTATAGTTTATTAGATTTTCAACTGAGCCATTACCCTGGTCTGCCATCTATCGTCAACCCTTGACTAAGGTAGTTAGAAGTAAAGATAACACTTTATCTTTGGTTAGAAGTGTATCTAAACTTCATCTCGTAAGTTCTCATGTATTTCTTACATTATCAAATTTCATATATCCCGTCATGTTTCGCGCGCTTAAAGCCGTCTCTAGGGTAAAATTGTTATGAATTGTTATTAAGTTGGGTGTGTGTTCCACTTACATTATTGCATATATTAAATTCATGAAATGAGATAAATTCTGCAAATTCCTAATTAACTTGTCCAAAAAAACGAGTATCCTATCAAAATTTGTTGGTTTACAAAGTAATAGTTGTTATCATATTGTCATGGCAATAGGAAATACTTTATGTTTATATTAAATCTTTGTCGAACTTAAAATGTTAAATAGTTGTGTGTGAATTGCGCTTACATAAAGTAATGCGCAGTTGTTATAGTAAAATTTGTTCATTTTACTATGGCATATTTCTCTTTTTTAAATTACTATCGTTGTAATTTAAATTAATTTTATTTCAGTTAGAAAATCTTTGTTAATAGCTTACGTTAAAAACAATAACAAAAATATTGTATTGCTTTAAAAAGACATTTTTAATATTTACTATTGTTTTGCAATGGTAACAACATTTTTGTTATTTCCCTTAAAAAGAGGGGAAAGGGGCCAGCGATCTCCTTGGTGAACATAACTTTATAATCCACAGTCTGGGTTATAATCTTATTGATTTCACTTGTGAGAGTGAAGTGTGGTTAAATCAAGCATGATAAAAATATCAAAAAGATCACTAAGAAAATTAAAATTTCGACGTTTACTAAAAGAAATATTTAAGGTCTATTCTTTAAACAAAGCAGGCTTGTTGTTTAAAAGTGAGTTCATATTTTTTCATTTTGTACATCGTATAATATGAGTAATTTTTTTTTGTTTTAATGCCTTGCAATTATTTAAAAAAACTACCCAACAGTAGGTTGAAAATGTGACCATTGTTACAATGAATATAGTTTAATGAATTAACAATTAATTTGTTGTTAAATTTACATAAATTTTATTATTATTATAAAAAAAGTTTTATTTTAAACGAAAAAGGATTTGTAAAATTTACCAAATTTCTATAAATAATACCATTAGGGTTTCATTAATACTACAAAACGTTTTTGTAAACGGTATAGAACTGTTTTTTTTGACAAATAATATTAACTATATTTATCAATGCCTTTCTGCATCTGGAAGAGTGTTATTTTATAAACATAAGGTAAATTTACTTCATAATGAATGCAAATGCTATTACTAAAAGCAACGTTGGTAGATAAATAATTTTCATAAAAATGATATTTTTGCCGTAACAAAAGCAATTGTTGGACGAATAGGGATCTTTACTTTATTAAAACAAACTACTTTTTTTGTTATATTTATTAAAAAAAAAAATTTGAGGGTATTTAAAGAGCTCTCTCCAAAAATCAGCTCGATTAAAAATTATTTAGGAGTAGAGAAAAGGTTAAAACAAGGATAAGAGCCCGTTAAAACAACCCTGGCAACGCAGAACAACTAATAAATTACTTATAGGGGGGTGATTATTTAATTAACAAAAACTTATTATTTATTCTTAAATTCTAATTTACCTATTGCAAAGAGAAATTCACATTTTTTGTTATTATTTCAATGTAAAATTTGTTTTAATAATTTTTTCTTTATTTTTGTAATAAAATTGGTTCAGGTAAAATGCTGTTCCAATTCCCTTTTTTAAGTGGAATAATGTTTCTCGTAATTACTGGGCAACCCTAATGTTTATTTATTTATCAATAATACATTAACGTTTATTATAATAAAATACACTTCTAAAATTTATTTAGACAGTTATGGGCTTAATCTTTCCAGCTTTTATTACATTTTCGTTAAGGACCTTAACATTTTTACATATGTTATTTCTATTTCCAAAGTAGCATTTTTAAAAGCTTCTTAAAAATTTTGTATAAATATAAATTGGCTTCAAAGAGGGTTCCTACCTATTAAAATACTAAGGTCCAGATAATAAATTAACATTTCCCAGGGATTAAAGTAGGCATCTTTGTGTTAAGCAAGGATTTATTTAACGAGACATCCTGACTTGACTGATGTAGCAATTAGAGAAAAAGGAAATATTATCCTGAATCATGTTATGGGTTCAAGCTACCTCGATAAATTTACTTGTTACAAATTAAAATAAGGCAGTAACTGCTATTAGGTGCCATAATTTTTTCTATATTTGGGTGAATTTATTGAGATGTATCCCAAGTGAAAATGAATATTTTTTATTTTTGGTTGTTTCACTGTTACTCTAAAATGGAGTTTTTGGGAAGCCACCAGGTCTAGTAATAACATAACATAAGTGGTTCTGCTTCACGGAAGATAGCTTCACGGAGGTTAGGATTAGATTGTATCTTTTGACACCTTAATATTTTTTAAAAATACAATTATACATAAAATATTTATAAAAAAATCTACTTACTGAGATATTACACTTCACGGTGGATAGGTTTTTAAATAGCAAATTTTGAATTATAAAACAGCAACACTCTCATCTGCATATAAATTCTAACTGACCTTCAGGAATCACTTGCATCTATAATGTCGTAAACAGAGGTTTTTGCTTATTTAAAATGATTAAAGCGCCATCCGTTGCATAAAATTTAAAGCAAAAACAGATTCACGGAGGATATAATCAATTTTTATAAGACCTACATAAATGGTTATAAAAATTATTTCTCTTAATTTTTAATAATATTTTATATTTGATTCGATTGCTTTGGATGTGTTTAATTTACTTAGTGAACTGAAATTTTTAGAATGCTTTTACTAGCTCAGATATTTGAAAACATATACGTTAACCTAGAAAGAGTAACAGTAACGGAGGATAGGTTTTAGACTGTTAAAACATTGTAAAAAATAATTAATTGCGGTCAAAAATCTGGAACCTGAGCTGTATTATCTAGTTAATTATAAAAGATCAAAACACAATAAAAGTGTAGGTCAAACTCATTTAGTTTTATAAAATATCACCATCGGGGGACATTTCGTGAGATTCACCCATTTACGAATAATTAATCCCAAGTTTGGCAACATAGCATGATTACGTGTATTTTGAACTACCATGGGATTTGGTGAGAGCATTGGATTTCTACCTCTGTGTACCGTTGAGATTTGCAGGAAATCAACTTTGGAATAACAAATATTTTTTATTTAACTATTCAACAACTTATTTCTCTTAGGTATAGGTAATAATTAATTGATACGAAAAAGGATTTAAAGTTTTTCATGCCTTAATTTTTACATTATGTTTTTAAAACATTTAAACTATGACAAAATGTCTATTTGAAAATTAAAGATTTGTATTTAAACTTAAAGTTGAGAGAAATCATTGTTTGGTGTTAAAGTCAAATTGTATAAACACTATGTTGTTAGGATAATAATAATACCAATCGATTTTGGAAATAATTAATAAACAAAAATTAAATTTTACAAACACTGTAAATATTTAACTTTTGTTAATGGTGAATAATTTAATTGTTTTTTGGTAATTGGCTCTACTGATACTTAATTTAATTGGTGAGCATATATTTTATTTGTGTTTGTGAATAGTAATAAAACTCGTTATAGTAAAATAAAAGCTCAAATTGGTTAAAAAATATAATTTAAAGCAATTTAAAAAAGTTAATGTTTTCCACTGGGAAATATAAATCCGTTCACAGTAAAACTCTTGATGGAATTTTATTACGAATCATAAATTTATATTCAGGCAAAACAAAGTTTTTTGAATTTTTAAGGATTATATTAATTTGTTTTTTATCATCAATAAATAAAATAGCATGGTATGCAACTCGTTTATAAACTTTTTCAGACACTAATTTAATTAGTCTACATTAAATTTGTGTCTAAAATGGCGTTTATCAAAATTGATACATAATATACTATTATCATTACATTTGCGAAGTTAATATGTATCAAGTTTGATAAATTGATGAGTGTATAGAAAAAAGTTTATAAACGAGGTGCATACTATACTTTTTCTACGACAAATACTTATTATTATCTTAAAATGATTTAAATCAAAAATTTGTATAGAGCGCCATCTATGAAACAATAGGGGATTCTGTGTGTCACCGTCAAATGTCAAATTTTTATATATTATAAACACAGATTATAAAAGTTATAAATCGAAATGTATTTCTTGAAACTTGACAGTTTTTCACAGTGAAAGTAAAGAAAATGTTTTATGAGCACTTTACAGTGGAGTCCGTTCCCGAATTTAAGTTATAGTTTACTGCCGGCGAAATTAAAAGGTCAGTACAATGTTCATATAAACTTTTCAAATATTGGCGTTGAGAAACTATTTAATACTTTTGTATTTTTGTATTGAGATAATAAAATAATTTTCACATTTAGTAATATTTT